AAGGCCAGGAGCCCCTAGTAGCGTCCTTGCTCCTAGTAGTAAGGCCAGGAGCCTCTAGTAGCGTCCTTGCTCCTAGTAGTAAGGCCAGGAGCCCCTTGCTCCTAGTAGTAGGGCCAGGAGCCCCTAGAAGCTTCTTGCTCCGAGTACCAGGAGCCCCTAGTAACTTCTTCTTTCTAGCAGGCAAGAATGCTATACTAGTAGTAATGCCCTTTGTGACCCTTGCTCCTAGTAGCATCCTTGTTCCTAGTAGTATGGCCAGGAGCGCCCCTAGTAGCGTCCTTGCTCCTAGTAGCGATGCCCTTTGTTCCTAGTAGCTTCTTGTTCCTAGACATTGTATATACAATGGCCTGGGCGCCATCGCTACTAGGTTGGAGGCCATCGCTACTAGGTATATAGTAAGTATGTACAGTAGATACAGCTTTTGCTCACCCTCTCGTCTTGCTCTCGCCTTGCTCTCGCCTTGCTCGCGCCTTGCTCGTGCCTTGCTCGTGCCTTTTCTTTCAAGTCTTTCAACAAAATGGTGTTTGAAGTAAAGCCCTGTGGCCTTTGGTTCCAAGCCCCACAGCGGCCACGATCGACGAAGAATGAGAGGTGTCGGCCAGCCAATCACCCTGAGCATTTCATGGGCAGCTCCACGTCATTGCTCAACAAAATCCAGGTCAGGTCCTGGTGGTATATTACATGATATTACGCTCTGCTGCATCCTTTTCGGACACCAACTGGAATCAACCTCCGCCCACCTGTCGGCCCCTGCTGTCTTCGCCAGGGCACAAAGAGGCCTCAGCCACGCACTTGGCCTCAGTCCAAGAGCTCGAGCGGCGCAGCCGGGCCCATCAGTCGAGGAGGCTGGGGAAATGAAGTGCCCGGGTTGAGGATCGCAGCGTCTTCTGAAAAAAGAATTGAATTTGGCCCTTCCATCTTCCAACTTCCAACACAGTTTTTGTTGGCTTGAGATTTTTATCTGACCAAGACAGGGTAGTCCAACCCCGTTCGATCGGTAAATCTGAACCAGAATCTGGATCAGTGATGACATCTCTCACACCTGAAGCATGTTGCACATCGCAAATGCTTTGGGTGCCTTTTTGCAGGAAACCTCAAGCTCAGAATAGAACGCTGCCGATCACTGGAATCAACAAAGCTAAACCTGCTTATGATTGGAATTCCTAGGTGCTAGGCCCTCCACTCACCACTGCATTTCAGTCGTTGTGTGGTCAGAAAGCATTTCACCAGCCCATTTATATATATATATATAGAATCCCAGCTGGTAGACTTGGAACCTAGAATCGAACTCAAATGACTCAAATGATCGCACTAGGCTCGTTCCCTCGCTAAACCCAAAACGGACCCCTCACCGGTTGACTCGTTCACCCCACGGAGCGGCTCCTCGTCGGGTCCCGGGCGGAGCGGCTCCTCTGCGGCCGGAAGGTCCCCGCGAAGAGCGTGGCCTGGCGCGTCTGCGAGAGGAGCACTGGACTATCACTGGACTGTTCGGATGAGGAAAAGAAATGTCACCCTCTGAGCATTGGCACAAAAAGAATCAAGACGTGAAGTGACACCTAGCGTTGTCCAAAGGAATCCTTGAGACAGAGTCTTCCGTGGTTCCTTTGGGTGTGCAGCAACCTCGCAGCACAATCCCCAGCGGTCAGTGTGTGTGTGTGTATGTGTGTGTGTGTGTCAGAACGCTGAGAAGCGATCCTTCAGCAACTATCCAAACATCTCTGCGTTGTCTTTTGAGTGGCCTCATGCTACACATTTCCGAAATTGTTCATGGTTGGGTGGTGATAAAAATTGTGCACTTTGCCACACAGGCCTTCTTTTTCTTCAGGTTCCGACCCTTGAACCACCTGGTCACTTCTGGCAAAACGTGCTGCGCCTTCTTCTGCCCGAAGGGGTCTGAGCGATCCTGAGATGGAGCGATCCGGGGCACAGCTTGGAGTCTTGGCTCATGAGTTGTTTGTTCTTGGTGACTTGAAAGCTATAGCCAGCCATAGCAAGAATTTCTCGGTTGGATTCAAAAGCAAAAGCCACGCAGGGGGAGAAAAGCCAAATGGCCAATTGACCTTTGAGCATGCCCAAGCCAGCGCGCACTTAGATAGTCATCCTGCTTAGTAGATTTTGTCGGGGCGAAGCCCGGCTACTGGCTGGCAGGCCTGTATGCAAATGTAAATGCGTAATAGTTGAGTACACTAGAGAGAGAGAGAGAGAGAGCGAGAGCGAGAGAGAGAGAGCGAGAGCGAGAGCGAGAGCGAGAGGGGAGATTTGCTTACATGGTTTCTGAAAAGTCGGGACACCAACAGCAAAGTGTCTCGTGGACCTCACCGATCCCCGTCCCATCTAACTTCACCGATCCCGCACCAACAAAAGAAAGCTCCAGCAAAAGCCTAAAGGGCCGAGAATCCCTGTACTCATCTGGACTCTTGGCCCTGGAGCCGCTATACAGCATCGAACGCCACTAAACCTGCTCAACATCCGAGAGCAACCGGCGGCCGTTGCACCGGACAAAATCTGTTCTGTACAATGTCTCACCCTCCCCTGGACACTTGACATACGTTCTCATGAAAGTGGCCTCCTTCCAGCGGGACACCGTATCCGCATGGATGTCGTGGCCACACAGTGCGTACTGACGTGAGTAGGTCGTCGTGCGGGTCACGATGCATGCCCCTGGACTCGGATTGCCAATGGTCGGCCCACCCATCCTCTGTACAGCCTTGCCCTCATTCTCCACAGCGAGATCGTGTCCGAGGTCTTCGCTTCCACGGCTTGCATTGGCCGAGTGGTCCGCCGTCACAATGGAGTGCTCCTGCACTGTTGGCACTGATGCGTTGTCCGGCACTGCGGCAACGAACACAAGCATGGCACCAAAGGCAGCGAGCTTGGAGAGCATGATGTGACCAGGGTAGTGCACTGAAGTGCAGAAATTGGGTGAGAACAAAGTTCTTGGAACAGCCTTGAGCCAAAACGACTACGCTTGAACTCACAGGGTACAACTCAGATACCCTGATGCAAACCAGTCATCCAAGCAAAGCGAACTCCCCTTGCTTGCTACCCGCAGCTTTGTTGAGGGATGAATTGAATTCCTTCAGTTGAACAAACTGAGAGGAAATTAGACCATACTACCATATACTACCATTAGATACCATTAGCAGTAGCACAACCCAACTGTGCCTTTCGACCGAGGCACGAAGCCCACCAAACCCAGCTGCTCCATGGCGAACCGGGCCGCGCGTGGCCCGGTGAAGCCGCCTTCGTGGCGGCTCAAGTTGGCGACTGGTTCGAACAGCAAGTGATGCGACGGGAGAAAACGACCACTCGAACATTTCTGAGTTGCTCTAGGTAAATGCTAGCTGCTAGCTCAGCATAGCTCAGCTATCTGAGTGGATGACTTATTGGTTGAGAGCTCAGAACTTGGGCGGTAACATCGGTACTTGGTGGGCTCCTTCACTCTTGCTCTCGAATGGTCTATGGATGTTTTGCTGATGGTCTGCTGGCTGCATCCGGCTCCATCGCAGCTCGAGCCAGACGGAGAGCAGCAGCTCTCGGGGCTTCGCCGATGGGAGTTGATCGGCCACTTGGGTGGGGGCCTGGATGTGGGCAAAAACTGACCAGAATCAAAGCCTGATAGGAGGGATGCATCTTTCTTGAAAAAGAAGAAAACAACACCTGAGAAGTTGGCTTAGCAATGCTTAGCATAATTTCATCAACCACTTGTGCAACCACTGAGATGTCAAGCGATCATGACTCCAAACATCATCCCCCGTTCGGCGGCTGCACAATGGTTCTTGAGTTCGTGAATAAACGAGATTGTCGCGGATCCTATATCAATGTAGCTCACACCAGCTGATTTGGAGTCTTCCCACACGCCTCATATAAGCCTGTGAATGCCAGCAGTTCTTTTCAATACAGAGGGCTCCTGCATCTTGCGGAGCAGGTCCAAACCGATGGCAGGGCTGCATTCTGCAGTGGCCGGAGGTTCTCAAACCTGTCAGGTGTGAAGATCGAGGCAGAGCTATCTTTTCGCCGGTGGATCTGTGCTGAATGGTCAAACATTTCTATCTGTATAAAACACTTGATTAGCCAACCGTCAACAGTGGCTGGGAGAAACGACAAACCGCTCAAACTTGGGTAGTCAAGGCTCCAAGCCAAAATCGGGGTGAACATGGTGAACACGGGGAACACTCAAGAAGTCATTCCATTTGAGAATTTCAAGAAAAGAAACAAAAGACTGACTCCCCAACCTCTGAACTCATTCGTTCAAAATTGGGCTCTCAAAACTACCACCGTATGACATGTTGCACTCCCCCTATCATCCGCTCAAAGTACCAATGCTCGAAACACGATCATTCCAAGGCCAGGTGGTCTTTGCTGTGGTGTAGGTCTTCCAAGCACGGGATTCTCACCATGGTTCCTTCTATCAGCCTTAAAATCAATGGTCCGGTCAGAACAAGCAATTTATCCATACCACAAAACTTTTATTATATACACATTTCTATGTATAGATATAGACTAGATATGAACCCTTTGAAGGCGGTTTGTGAACCATCGCGTTTGTTATTTTGTTCGGCCCCTCACGAAGCGAACCGGCCAAGGTTCCCTGACTGAAGGAGTCTCTTCAAAAGAGACCGCCTGGGCAGATGACCAAGAGGAACCCACCGAAATGGCCAAACACAAATGTCTTGTCATGTCTTGTCTATGGTTTGAACCTCTTAGCTTTAAAGTCTTCACCGCACAAGGAACCTGAACTTTGCTGTTGCAAAACGGCAAAGGAAACAAAACGCAAACCATCCCCAGCTTTGCCCACTGCTCGATCTCAGCGTCTTTCTTTGAGGAAATCCTATGAAATCCTCATCTTACCTATTTGATCCCATTTGTCAGTGGGCGGCCATCAATTGAGAGTGGAAAGGCTTTTCCCAGCCAATCACCAACCAGGCGGCCTCAGGGCTCGAGAAGAAGCTCTGGAGGCCCTTCTCGTCTAGGAATTCGGTCCTTGGTGAATTTGGAACACTCGGAACTCATGACACGACCTTGAAAAACCGTTCCAGAATGGCACATCCACCAGACTGGCAGGCCTTCGATCCGGAAACTGGGAACGGCTCCGGTCAAACGTCATTCTCAGCATTTTGCTTCAGCGGGCGAGAGGAGATTCCTCACAAAGAAGGGCTGCAGCAAATAAATCGGCTCGCTGCCGGAGGCATCTGATGATGGGCTTCACCTGTTACCAGATCCCACCACCAAGTGGCACCTGCAGGGGTTGGTTCCGTGTCCCTACTCACTATAACAATGACTAGCTAGAGGCCAAAGCTTTTCCAAAATCTTGAACTAGGCGATGCCGGAGCAGGTTGCCCCACCTGTCTCTGGATTAACAAACTCCTCAAACAGGCTTCCTGGCACTGCTTCGCGCCCAAGCCCCAGGATCGTCTCTATCCGGTCTTGCGCCACTGGTGGGGGTCGCATCTTGTTGAACTGCGGAGAGCGCGGGCGTCTCAAGTCCTGCATCGGGTCTGGGGCTGAAGACTTGTCATCTCAACAGCAAACAATCTCACAATTGAGATCAACGGGATTGGTGTGATGAACACCCCCTTCAAACCCACATCTCCGACTCCTACCTCCCGTTACTGTCCCCCCTCTTTGCACCCAAGGTCCCACCTTGACCTATCTGACCGATCCTTCTTGGCCCATGGCGCCCATGACTCGTTCCTTGGCGACCAAACAGCTAAGACCCCGCGATGCCTTCGTGTGGCGATGACGTCGTTTGGGAGTTTGAAACCTGGTAGCATCCGATCGCTCTGTTCGTAGCGATGCCCTTTGTTACTAATAGCTTCTTGCTCCTAGTAGTATGGCCAGGAGCCCCTAGTAGCGTCCTTGCTCCTAAGGTGTTCATCGGTCAAGATCATGTCAATGCATCCCCGTGCTCGTCTTCAGGTCCTGCATCTGCTGCATTGGAGGATGCTGCTGATCCTGCATTTCCTGTTGATGCTGCAGGTGCTGCTGATAGTGCAACTGCTGTTGGGGCTGCGTCTCCTGCTGGGGTATCTGCTGCGGCACATGCTGTGGAAACATCTGCTGCGGTTGCTGGTCGGGCATGTGGGGCTTATGTGCCTGTGGTGTCCGTGGCATTTGCTCGTGCAACATCTGCGGCTGTGGACTCTGCTGTGCCGCTTGCTGTGGAAACATCTGCTGCGGTTGCAGGTCGGGCATATGTGCTGGTGGTGTCTGTGGCGTCTGCGGCATTTGCTCGTGCAGCATGCGCGGCTGTGGACTCTGCTGCGCCGTGTACTGTTGAAACATCTGCTGCGTTTGCTGATCGGGCATATGCGCTGGTGGTGTCTGTGGCGTCTGTGGCATTTGCTCGTGCAGCATGCGCGGCTGTGGACTCTGCTGCGCCGCGTACTGTTGAAACATCTGCTGCGGTTGCTGGTCGGGCATATGTGCTCGTGGTGTCTGTGGCATTTGCTCGTGCAGCATTTGCGGCTGTGGAATCTGCTGCGCCGCTTGCTGTTGAAACATCATATGCGGTTGCTGGTCGGGCATATGCGCTGGTGGTGTTTGTGGCACTTGCTCGTGCAGCAA